ACTGCTTCATATAAATTTTCATATAACTTGCACTTTAAATAGAGATTATCAGATAAAATATTGTATAAATCTGAATAAGAATGAGTAACTTTCAGATACAACATTCCCACCACCTCACATAACCGGAAGTAGTACTTTACCTGAACCTGTACCCATTTGTTTCATATAAACTGGTACTAAGTAAAAAAAATATTAAAATTTTGTATAAGCCTTTATATGAAAAAGGTATAAATAAAAAATTACATTGAAATCATGAAACCGAAAGTAGTATTTTACTTAACAAATCACTTTCACATGCAATTTTACATACAGGAGTTAAAATAAAGTAAATTCTACAATTATTTTGAATTTAGTGCCTTTTTTAAAAGTATTTTTACAAACATTTATTTTTGAGTCGTATAAAAATGTGAGAAAGTCGAGTGTAGAGCACTGTAGTTTTATTATTATTATGCAACTTAAGAAAAAAATATACAAAAACTGCATTATTGAGTCTCTTTAGAAAACTCAATTGAAATTGGTCGACAGAACCGCACAGAAGAGGGAACAGGATTTTGCCACACTACCTTACCAGTTTCTTCGTCAATTAATCTAATAGGTACAAATGAAGCTATGAACAAATTAGCATCACATACCATATTAGACTCTTCAGGTAGTACTTGCTTGTATTCGCTTTGTCCAGATGAGCCATCACACCCCCACTTACTATATAAAACTAACTTTTGTAATCTAGACTTATATACTGACTCTATTAATAAAATTCTATTAATCGTGTGATTTAATAAATCTTGTAAAGAGGTTACCTTTGCATATGTATTGCTGATTTCTATGCTAGAAACAGGTGGATAACAGCTTTTTTTACTTTCCTGGATGTTGTGATAAGGTGGCAATAAAAAGCAGCTTTTCTCATTGGTTAGATTTCTAAGGTATAAATATTATGCTTTAGTCAAATCTAAATCAATGTAAACGCTTAATGCTTCATCTGCACTCAATGGTTGTGATTTATTATGGTGGATCTGTTTTAAAATTGCTTTCTTTTCATCACGCTGCAAATCTCTTATAGTCTCCACTAAATTTGCTTCATCACTTTCTCCCATGGACCGTAATCCCTGAATATACGCACTGTATATGCGATCAAATCCATATTCATTTTGCAATGTGGTATTTTTTTGAAAAACAAAAACATTTTTCACGTAAAAATTTAATTAAGCCCGAAAGATTTTTTCGATCCGCAATGTAAGCGAGAGCTACTTCACGTTTTAAGCATCTTAATATAACCATTTTGTATAATAGTTTCTTCGCATATATTGTATTGAAAAAAACTAATTTTTGCCCATAGGAAACATAAAAAGTACTATATTACTATAAATAGAAATATTTACGGATATTAGAGCACTTACCTTATGAATTAATAATTTTAAATAATGTTCTGAAAAGAACAGTACTTAACAATGACAAACGATAAGGCGGAAGAAAACTTAAGACAAAAATCGGACGTTACTTTAGGATATATTATGACAATTTAAGCTACTTAACCTAAGAAAAGCCATATTGCATTTAAGCTATGTACGTCGTCAGTAAACAAAAATAACACTTCCGTGCGTGACGTGGACCTTAGTATTCTGGTCATAACTTCTAAATAGGCAAATGTTGGCAGCTAATTTTTTTTAGTGTTTTAAAGAAAAAGTGTCTTTAAAATTATATATATTTTAGACCATCGCTAACTGCTAAAACTCTAGCTAAAGAAATCTCGAAATTGATGGCATCGGATAATCCCGCGTTTATTGTTAAAATACAACGATGAAATTATTTATTGGTACCTGAATTAGGTTCTCCATTGAACAACCTTTTCGGGAAGATATGACGTTATATATGTTTCACACTAAAACTTTATATTAGCAGTCGTTAAAAATCACTACAAAAGTAATCGAAATACGTGTGAAATCAGAGATATATAAACTTTGATAATTTTTTTTTTACTTAAATACGTCATATAAAAATAAAACTTATGTTAATTAATAAAATCTGACATTTCTACTATAGGATTCAATTGAAAAAAGAAATAAATTTCGACTTTCGAAAAACCCATTTATGATCAGCAAACGATTCAAATTACCCATAGTGCGTCGGTCGTAAACGCGAGACATGACCTTTGGAACC